ATAAGTGCTTCCCTGGCAAGCGCAAAGGCCTGAGTTCAATCCCTGGTTCTGAAAAAAAAATAAATAAATAAATTAAAAAAATAAAAATTAAAAATTAAAAAAAAAAGAATGCAACCCCAGATGTAAAGAAACGTCAAAATTTCCAGTAAAGTGCCAGGAATGGTGGCACATGCCAATGATCCCAGCACTCAAGAGGCTGAAGCAAAAGGATCACGGTGAGTTCTTGACTAGTAAGCTCAAGGCCAGCCTGAATTTCATAGTGAGACTCTGTCTCAAAGACCAAAAAAAAAAAAAAAAAAAATCAAAGCATCCAGCATCAGGTAGCCTCTCCTGTTGGATGTAGAGGCAACAGTCACTGTGGAACACCAGACATGTCTTTTTGTTTTGTTTTTCTGTTTTGCTTTTGAGACAGGCTCTCGCTGTATTGTTCAGGTTGGCCTTGAACTCCTCTGTAGCCAAGCTGGCCTCCAACTCAACACAATACTCCTGCCTCAGCCTACAAAGTGCCGAGATTACAGGCGTGCACCACCACACCCGGCACAGAACACCAGACATTTCTGACAGATGCTGTAGAACAGTTTCTGATTCACTCCCCCCATATACACATTTCCCCTCCCACACACAATCTGTTACTTTTCTTGTGAGCCTTCTAAGCCCTCCCTTAATCTTCACTAGTTTCTAACCATCCTGGAGCCTCTTATATTCTGTCTCCATTCTCCAAGTTCCAATACCCTGACACCTCCTAAGCATTCCTCCAGTTTATTTCCTATTAGGCAATACTGCCCTACAGCTCTCACAGCAACCAGCCACCTATCTTTCCTCTAAAGCCTAACTCCAAACATCATTTTCCTCAGGCTCTACTCCAACACAAGACTACACCGCTTCTTCTCCGTTTAAAAATCTTTTGATCCTTATTTCGCACATTCCTGACGCTCTTTTCACAACCTTCCACTCCTACGGGCTGAGAAAGTAGCTCAACGCCATAAGGCGCTTGGCTAGCATGACTGAAGATCTGGGTTCAATACCTAGCTCCACAAAATCAAAAAACAAAAATCTACATTCTTTCGCCAAGTTAGGTAGTCCAGAGGATGAGTGTCACCAGGAGTTACTTTGACAAAGTGCGTGAGTGCTCCGGCGCCCCCTCGCGATGGGGGGGGGGGAGAATGAGAAGGAATGACGCATCGGGGGAGCCTCTGCGGAGAAAAGACCACCCCAATAACCCGACTCCTAACTACATTTACGGTTCCCGGACTCTTCAGCAATTAAAGGCGCCACAGAACTTTTCAGTGCTTTTTACTTCCATCATCTCTCAGCTATCTTCATCCAAATCACTCCACGGTCAACTTGATCCTACCTGCTTCACACTTCGTGGTTTCTACTTATCTAGCCTCCTTTTACTCTAACCCTTCCTCCTCACAATCCTCAGTCCGGTTTCCTCGAAGACAACACTTTCAACAGCTATCCTTTTCTCAATCAAACCCATCCTCTGCTCACTCCCTTCCCCGCTCCGAAATACCCATATGAAAGCACAGCCCTCTGTCCTCCCTGCCGGAACCCCTCGCACATTCCCGGCTACAGGTGCCCACCCAGGTCTCCTTCTTCCGCCTATCGGTCAGTCATCACCAGCCCGCTACCCTAGCCCTGCCTAGCTTACCTGAGGTCGACCCCGGGACCCCGGAATCCAAAGATGAAAATCCGACCGCCGACGGCCCAGAGGAGGCCGACGCCATCTTGGCAGCCCCCTCCCCCTCAGCGGCCTCTCTCCCTTTCAGTCGGGCTCTTCCTCTTCTCGGAATCGAATCTTCCCCACGTCTTTTGACAGAGCCCACGTTCTGCGGGCCACCTTTCCGCCCCTCCGGGGCCTCTCTCAGACGTTTCGGGCTGGCTGCCGGACCAGCTCAGGGCTGCACCACTCGCCTGGCATGGGGGGATATATATATAACTCCCGTCTCGCACCCCCTTCGCAACTCTGACCGCTTTCCACCGGAGATACTTTCCGCTTGTACAAGGGACTAGGATCAAGTGGGCGGCCGGGACTCCGCGTCCGGACCAAACCACACCTAAAAGAAAACCGGGACACGAACAGTCCGGGAGAAGCTGTCCCCCATTCCCCCTGCTCTGGCTTCTCCTCCTTTTCCCCTCCTCCCTGTCCTTAGCCACAGCCTGTTTATCGCTCAACCCTACTGCTCGGCTCTGGGTAGCCAAGGAAAATCCAACAGTGCGCATGCGTCCGACCTTCTCGGCGTTCCATCCTCTCTAGTGGGAAGGGAAGATCAACGAAGCCAATCAGGAGGCAACGGGTGGTCACGTGGTGCGGGTCTGACGCGCCGGCGAATCCACCCGCGGCAGACCCGTGAGCCGCGGCCTCGGACTACCTCTACGGTGGCTCGGTAGGTCAGCCTAGTTTCTGCTCTTAGGAAAAACTAAGTTTTGCGTAGTCCGAGTTCGTGTTAAGAGTACCGGGGCTGGTCTCAAATTCAGACCAGGAAAAACTTCCGGACAAAATGCTCTGGTGTCAAGTAAGAGACGTTACATAGGCGAATACTATAAAAAATCACATGCTGCCAAGAATTCTTCCCATCCTCTTTCCGGTTTTACCTTCCAGCGAATGACATTAAAAATAGATGTTTGTTTGGGGCTGGTGAGATGGTTCAGTGTGTCAAACACAATACTAGACATATGTAGGCATAGTCCAGTAAATATTTGATTTGAGTTTTTGTTTTAATTACTGGTGATTAAACCCCAGATCTTCTCACTGAGCTACAACACCAGTCCTTTTTTATTTTTTGACACAGGGAGTCTCCCTAAATTACCCAGGCTTGGCTCGAACTCGCAGTTCTCTGTCGCAGCCTTCCAGAACGTTAGAATTTCAGGCGTTAGAATTTTTACCACCACACCCTGCATCGGTAAATGTTTGGTAAGTGAATCAATGAAGACCTGTCAAAAGACCATAGTGGTGCAGCACTGTAAAACCTACTACTGAGGCCCAGTGAGATAGCTCAGCGGCCTAAAGCACCTGTTTAGGCAAGTGCTCAGGGACCGCGGGTTCAGTCGCGGGCACCACAGGCTGCGCCAGTCCAGCTACCAGGATGGGCTGGGCCAGCCACACACACGCACACACGCACGCACAAATAATAAGGATATAACTTGAGGAGGCAGGGAGATAGCTCAGTAGAATAAGCGCTTCCCTGGCAAGTGCAAGGGCCTAAATTCAATCCCCAGTTCTGCAAATAATAAAATAATAATAATAATAATATAACTTGAGTGGCTGAGAGGAATATCACATGATTGAAGCCAGTCTGGACAGCTTAGTGAGACACTTTCAAAATAACAAAAGAGCTGAGGTTGTAGCTCAATGATGAGCTCCTCTGGAGTCTATTCTCAGCACCACAAGAAAAAGAGAAAAAGGACTACGAAAGGCACTCAAACCATTTATTACAACCTTACAACCTTACACAATACAAACTTTTTTACCTCCAGCTATCAATTATCTGTGCTTTAAAGGGCATGAAGATGCACAGGAGAAATTCCTTTTATTTATTTCTTTTTTCTTTTTTTCTTTTGTGGAACTGGGGATTGAACTCAGGCCCTTGCGCTTGCTAGGGAAGCACTTACTCTATTGAGCCATCTCCCCAGCCCATGAAGATCTATCTTGAACAAATTAAGCTTCTGGAGAGCAAGGACGTTTGCTTCATTCATATCTTCAGTTTCTCACTGTACAGAGTAGGTGTTGAACAATCATTTGTGAATGAAAAATTGGGGAAATTCTCGGCTTTGTAACCCCTAATGTGGCTTGATTTCTCTCTTTCCAGCTGTCTTCCAGGCCCTCCAAAGGAAACCAAAAACATGAGAGTTTATAGAACATCCCCCTTTTATTCAGCTTTCTGCCTCTCTCTCAAACTGTTTCCTTGCTGCCCCCTGCTGGATTATTTGGCCTCCTTTGGGTAGGAAGGTAGGCAAACTTCCACCCATTTGGATTACCATTTGTTATTCCAGAACAATGAAACAGTGTAGTGTTAAGCGTTTCCTGGTTCCCTGCCCCTATAACCCCCATTCAACCAAACAGTACAGGAACTAGACAGTATAGGTCGAGGATTTGGCTCATAGGTATTCAATAAGTAAATATTTGTTGAATAAATTATCCTTGTTTCCAGAAAAAGCATGCAGTTGCTACCATTTCCTGAATTTTTTTCTTTTTACTTTTTTTTTTTTTTTTTTTGGTACCAAGGATGGAACTTGGGACCTTACGCTTGCCAGGCAGACACTTATGCCGCTAAGCTATATCCCTGGCCCTCCTGAGTTACTTTAAATGAATTTTATGTGTTTATTTGTACCAGGAATCAAATTCAGCACCTTGAACTTGCCAGGTAGACACTGTACCACTGAGCTATATCCCCAGTTGAGTAACTTTAAAAATCAGCTAGTGTTGAGAGAAAGATGTTTCTGATTTCAAAATTGAAACTAGTCTAAGAAATCCCAGGATGACCAAAGCAGTCAAATAAGGAATCTTCTCCCCATGAGCTTATCTGAAAATTTGATTTTACCCTTCCTGAAAGAAGAAATCTCTGTTTTGTAGCTTTGCAGGAAGGTCTTTGCTTCTACCTTATATACCAGAATAGTGACTACTATTACACCTTCCACCTTGTGTCTTTAGTCTGTTTGCCTGCTTGCCTCATAAGACTAAACTCTTCAGGGAAAAGATTGTGTCTCCTCCATTTTTAGATCTTAAGCATCTAGAATAATGCCTGGGGGAAAAAAATAGAATAATACCTGGGGAGGGGACCAGGGAGATGGCTCAGTGGAATAAACGCTTCCCTGGCAAGTGCAAGGGCCTGAGTTCAATCCCTGGTTCCATTAAAAAAAAAAAAAGAATAATACCTGGGGAAGAGTAGGTGCCAATTCCTGTTAACTAAATGTCTTCTAAATACTTGAATGGATGAGGGCAAAATTCAAAAAGTGGTATTAGGGATGTTTAAGAAGCAAGTATTTTCCATCTTTTACCCCTTAATCTTTTTCGTGCTGCCACTCCTACTCAATCCCTGAGGTGCCCTCTGAGTCATAGAGCCACTCTTCCCTAGTAACATTCTTGGCATAGCAGAAGTAGTGTGACGTGGCAGGGTGTGGAAGCATTGGCAGAGCAGGATATGTTGGCTTAGTGCTCCCAAGGAAATACAAGAGGGAGTTTACCAATACATACTTCAGGAAGGAAGGCCTCCCCAGCGCTGGGATTACAGATGTGTGCCACCATTCCCAGTTTCAGGGCCAGCATGATACACCCAGGGATTCGAGGCCAGCATGGCATACAGTACTGGGGATGGAACTTGAGACCTTGGACTTGCCAGGCAGATGTTTAGACCACCAAGCTAACTCCCCAACCCAACAACTATGTCTTAAGAATTTATGGAGGGGGCTGGTGAGATGGCTCAGTGGTCTAAAGCACGTACTTAGAACAAGCTTAGAAAAGCACAGGGACCGCGGTTCAATCCCCAGCACCACATGCCAGCCAGCCCCGCCCCCTGGTGGGCTGAGCTGGACACACACACACACACACACACACACACACATAAATAAATATTAAAAAAAAAAAGAATTTATGGAAACAGGAGCTAGGGATATAGCTCAGCAGCATAAGCACCTGCCTGGCAAGTGCACAAGTGCAAGGTCCTGAGTTTGATCCCTGATACCACAAAAGAGAGAGAGAGAGAGAGAGAGAGAGAGAGAGAGAAAAGAATTTATGGGAACAGAATCTCAAAGGCCGGGGAGATGGCTCAGTAGAATAAGCGCTTCCGTGGCAAGCACAAGGTCCTGAGTTCAATCCTTGGTTCCGAAACAAAAACAAAAACAAAAAACAACAGAATCTCAAAAAAAAATAGGCTATTTGAAATTGGAACTACTCCAGAGAATCTAGGATGTCTGAGTCCCATGGTTATTTAAACCGCCGAAAAGAGAATAATAGTGTTTAGGAACACTTCCTACAAAATTAGAATTTTGCCAGACAGAAAGTAAAGTTCTAAGAAGAAGGAAAAACCTAAAGGCATGACAGAGAATTGGGCGACGAGAATGATGCTGAAATAGGATGATGTATCATGAGGTGAGGCTGGAAAGGCAGGGAGCGGCTAAATTATGAAGGATCTTGAATGTCATGTTAATAGTTATGCACTAAATGCTTACTACGTGCTACCTAAACACTGTGCTAAGCAGTACACAAGGATATTTCTTAATATTATCAACAATCTTTAAAAGATAAATATTATCATTGCTTTTTTTAATTTTTTTTCCGGAACTGGAGATTGAACTCAGGCCTTTGCACTTGCCAGGGAAGCACTTATTCTACTGAGCCATCTCCCCAGCCCTGATTGCTTCTATTTAATAATGGAAAAAAACTAGAATTTAGAGAAGTAGTAGTCCAAGGCCAGCCAGATAGCTCAGTGGACTAAAGCGCCTGCTTAAGCAAAGCGCAGGGACCAAGCTTGATCCCCAGCACCACATGTTGTGCCGGCCCCGCCCCTGGGGTGCGCCGAAATGGCGACTGATACTGGGCATGGTGGTGCGCACCTGTAATCCCAGCGCTTGGGAGGCTGAAAACAGGAGGAGCACTACCAGTCCGATCTGTGTAGTGAGACACTGTAGACCCTGTACTAAATACATAAAAAATAAAAAAATAAGCATTCCAGAGAAGTACTAGCCCAAGATCACAGAGCTCAGGTGCCAGCACACTGAGGAGCTCTAGGTTGTGTTCTTAACCAAAACGCTGTGCTTCCTGAGTATCCCGTAGATGATGGGGAACAATGAAAGTTTTTTTGGTTAGTGTTGTCTTTTCGAGACGGGGTCTCCCTATGCGGTTCAAGCTGGCCTAGAGCTCTCTTTGTAGCCTAGGCTGTTTTCAAACTCGCAGAAATCCTACTGTTTCAGCCTTCCAGTGGTGGGATCATAGGCATGCACCACCACGCCCGGCATCATTAAACATTTTTGAAGGTAAGGATGACAAAGTCTGTGTTTTTAGAAAGGTTCCCACTGGTACAACTTTAAAAGGGACTGCGGAGGCTGGGGATGTAGCTTAGCCGTGCAGCACCTGCCTGCCAAGCGCAAGGTCTTGAATTCTATTCCCGGTTTTAAAAAAATGAAAAAGGAGGGGCCGGGGAAATGGCTCAGTGGAGTAAGCGCTTCCCTGGCAAGCACAAGGGTCTGAGTTCAATCCCCGGTTCCACCAAAAGAAAAAAGAAAAACGGACTGCAGTCGGGCACAGGGGCCTCTCTAGAGGCTGTGGCAGGAGGACTGCGAAGAGGAAGCCGGCCTGAGCAGCTTCGTGCGACCCTGAGGGCGGCGGGAGCAGGTGGCTCAAAGGTACAGAGCCCTTGGATTCGATCCTCAGTATCTTAATAACAAAAATGGATTGGCGCACAGGGAGACTGACCTCTTTTTAAAACATATGTTGACTGCTAAATTCTAGACTTAGGATAGTGAAGGTCCTGGTGTCACCGAGGAGAACTCATTGAGCAAGTCAGATCTGACGACTGTGCTGAAAAGTAAAATTTAAAGGCCGGACTAGGAGCTCCTCGATGCTCGGCTGCTTCTGCCTGCAAACGCCGGACTTCCGCCGTCAGTGGCCGCTCGCAGGTCGTGATGTCGAGCGCCGAATTCCTAGAATCAAACTGGGTGAGGGGGCGGCCGGTTGCGGCGCAGTCCTCGTAGGTGGTATGAGTTTGGCTGGGGGCCGGGCCCCCCGGAAGACAGCTGGAAACCGACTTTCTGGGCTTCTGGAGGCAGAAGAGGAAGATGAGTTCTACCAGACGACTTATGGGGGTTTCACAGAGGCAAGAGTGGGGCTCAGGAAGAAGGAGGGGAGGAGGCAAAAAGCAGCCGGCTAGGGAGAAAGCCGGGACAAAGAAGGGGGCGGAGAGTGCAGGGGCGCTCCGGGTGCTGGCTTTGGGGCCAGGTGGGCGAGTGGGGGGACGCTGTGGGGAGCTAGAAGCGAGCGCCCTTGGCGGGGGCGAATGTGCGTGCGCGTGCGTGCGTGCGTGCGTGCGTGTGTGTGTGTGTTTGGGTCAGGGTCGGAAAATCTCCCCGACGCACCCGATTACGGTAGAAAACATCTCGCAGCCCCATTCACGTCTAGGATACACAAAGCACCTTGTAGTCAGGTGACTCAATGTATATAGATATATATACTGAGTTATTGACTAGAAACATTGAAAGGACCTGCTATTCTAAGAGTCTTCCGCTTACTCCTTTTTACGGGCTTTTAAGCCGGTTTTTGTTTTGTTTTCTTAGCTTTTTGAGACAGGGTCTTGGTATTTGGTTAAGGCTGATTTTCAATTCACGCTGTATACCAGGCTGGCCCCGAATTGAGGAGTGATCCTTCTGTTCTAGCTACCTGAATGCTAGAATTACGGGCATGCACCACTACATGTGCACGTACTTTAATGTAAATGTTTTCTTAGAGCATATCCAAGTATTTCAATTGCAAAAATATACTTCACGTTGGTTTGCTTATTTTTACTCTCCCGTTAGACTTTAAGCCCTATAGTCAGCATTTTGTGTTGCATGTCTAACCTAGTGTCAACAGGGTTGGTACGTGCTAAATGGGAAGGGAGTGATTGTGTCTCTTTTTTTTAAGGAGGGGGGAACCGGGGATTGAACTCAGGCCCTTGTGCTTGCCATGCACATATTCGACTGAGCTATCTCACCGGCCTCAAGTGTCTTTTTGACTTTTTTGTGGCGGAACCAGAGATTGAACCAGGGAATCTCCCTGGCTCCTTTTTTTTTTTTTTTTTTTAAGAACTTTATTTATTTGTGTGTGTGTGTGACCAGCTCAGTCCACCTGGGGCTGGGCTGGCTGGCATGTGGTGCTGGGGGATTGAACCGCGGTCCCTGTGCTTTGCTAAGCTTGTTCTAAGTAGGTACTTTAGACCACTGAGCCATCTCACCAGCCCTCAAGTGTCTTTTTTTTTTCTTTTTTTTTCTTTTTTTTGCTGAACCGGGGATTGAACTCAGGCCCTTGCACTTGCCAGGGAAGCGCTTATTCCACTGAGCCATCTCCCCGGCCCCTCAAGTATCTTTTTGAGACAAGGTCTAACTATGCAGTTCAGGCTGGCCTTGAATTTATTTTGTAGCCAAGGCTACAAATCCCCCTGAGTACTGGGATTATAGATGGCTTGGTTTGAGCCAGGGTCTCACTACGTAGTTCAGGCTGGCCTTTAACTCACTGTGTAGCCCAGGCTGGGCTCAGACACCTCGCCAACCTTCTGCCTCAGCTTCCCTAGTGCTGGGATTATAGGCAGTAATCACAGGCTCAGTGTGTAGGCCAGGTTCACCTTGAACTCACAGTAATCCACTGTGCCTAACTCTTGCTAAATTTTTGATTTATTGTTTACTCATTAAATACATGTTTAGGAGCCGGCATAATAATTGCTCAGCAGATTAAAGCACTTGCTTAGGCAGATACAGTGGGATTCCAGCTTGCTGTGCCAGCATCTCCCTGCCCCCCAGAAGCTGAGACTGATATTGAAACTGGGCATGGTGGTGCATGCCTGTAATCCCAGCTCTTGAGAGGCTGAACACAGGCAGATCACCGCGAGCCCAGTCTACATAGTGAGACCCTGTAGACTCTGTACGTACATAAATAAATAAATAAATAAATAAATGTTTAGCATCAGGAGTGTGCCACATAGGCAACAGCTCAGTGCCAGAGCACTTGCCTAGCATGATTGAAACACTGGGGGTTTTGTCCCCAGCACTGCTGAACCATGCCTGGTGTGGTAGTGTACCTGAATCCCTGATGAGGGTCACAGCCTAAAAGTTCAGAGTTATAAAAACCCCTGATGAGGGTATCAGTCTAACCTATCTGGGGATATGGCACAGGGATGCAAAAGCAAGCTGGGGAGCTATCTCAGCAGCATAAGTACCTGCCTGGCAAGCACAAGGTCCTGAGTTCCATCGCTAGTGTGTGTGTAGGGGAGACAAAGAGAAAATATTCTGCAGTTGAGGAGCTCTCCCATGGCCCAACATTACCTGTGAAGCAAAAGGCCTCATCTCCAAAAGCTCATGGTGTCAGTCAGGGAGGTGGATTGGGTGGTGACAGAATGCATAGAGGAAAGAAACTTTGTAGTGGTACCAGGCAGAGAGACCTCCATTTACCAGTGTACAGATAGTTTTGATGTTTACAAGTCTGGCACCTTTACTGTAAATATAGCCAGTTATGCATATCTCAGTAAATAGGGAGAAGCCAGCAACAGGTCAGGGTAAGGGCCTCATTTCTCAGGAGAGAGCAACATGGCAGTCTCCTACAGTGGTATACAGCTATAATCTCAGCACTCTTGGGAGGCTGAGGCAGGTTAATCACTAAAAGTTCAAGGCTGGCCTGAGCTACTTAATGAAACCCTGTCTCAAAACAAAACCCAACCAGACAAACAAGCATAGCCTTCTCCCTACACATTGTAGACCCCAGTGAAGAAACTGGCTGGGTTCATAATCAAAATATTGTGTGATAAGGACTAAAACGAGATAAGCATAGGGTGATGTGGCAACACAGAAATCAGGCATGTTGGTGGGGAGAGGCATCTCTGAGGAGTGATGTTTAAACTGAGTGTGGCATGGAGAGTAGGCTTTTGCTGGGTGGAGAGTCATGGGGAAAAATGTTTAGTCAAAGGAGAAGGGTGATATAGAGTGTTTAAGGTACTGAGCTCTCATTGTGAGACCTGCAAGTTTACTCCCATCCTGCAGAAAAATAAAGATTGGTGAAGCGGAAGGAAATAGCCCTATGTTAGATGATGTACAGTCTTATGAACCAGGTTAAGGAGTTCTGTTGTCAGGGGACTAATAAAGGGTCAGCAGAAGTTCCATTTTCAAGGGCGGAAGGTATAGATAAGGGTAGAACACTTGCCTAGCATGGGCTAGACCCTGGGCTCAACCCCCAGTATGTTTCAAAAAAACCCAGATTTCTACAATCAGATTTGTGCTTTAAAATGATTATTCTGTAATAAAAATAGTTTGACACCATAAGCTGCACCAGCTGGTCCCGACCCTGGGCACACTGAACTGGCCATCGTGACCGGGGTGGTGGAGCACACCTGTAATCCCAGCACTGGGGAGGCTGAACACAGGAAGATCACTACAGAGTCAGAGCTGCATAGTGAGACTCTGTACCAAATACATTAAAAAAGAAGAAGAAAAAAAAAAAAGCTTGAGATAGCAGCTATAGAGAAACAGGGACAGAGATGAGAAGCAATTGGCTAGCTTGCCTGATGCTGAGTTTGATCTCTAGCACTGCCAGAAAAGAAAGCAATTTACAGGGATGTAGAATTTAAGAGAAATTAATAGAATGCACAGGACTTGATGACTGAGAGTCTTTGCTTACCCCTCAACTAACTAGTATTTTTGTTACATGTGTATGTATTTTGTTCACAGTTCTAGGAATTGAATCCAGAGTCTTCATATTGAGCTACACCCCTCCCAGTCCTTTTTATTTTTTTTCTAATTTATTTTTTATTTTTTAATTTTTTTGCGGAACCGGGGATTCAACT